CGAGGCCATGGAATCTTCATCCTGTTCAGAGGCAGCGACACTAATTGAGAAGACTGAGGCAGGCGAGGAAGATTGTATCATGCAAACTTACACTATGATTCAGTTAAAAACGAAAGCATTACATTGAATACTCTATTTGCACACCATCTTTGAAACGTGACATCCAACACTCCATCCTTCTTCCGTTCCTGTTGTTGCTTCCTTTCCTTCCTGTTGGTACTGCACTTATTTGTTGCTTTTGCTCCATTGGCATTCCATTTAACTCTTCTGACCGTGAGACTTCTTCTTTCACATCCCTTCTTATACTACTTATATCGTTCGTATAAGTAGCACACACCACAATATTACTAAGGAATAATTGACAGATGAAATCGTAACACGAGTTGGCTTAGCTCACTTGAATGAAGAGTTCGAAATTGTGCGTGTAACATATAGTTGCATGACCACGGTTAGGCGCGACTCATATGGATTCCTGTCAAAAATTATAATTTGCATCAATAAGCGATATGAATATGAATTACAGTCGAAAACGGTACATGTAACAGTGAACAGGTTTTTCCTACAGGGGTTATGTAACCGACTCTATACAAATAACTGACCTTCATATTGTGCTAACAAGGTTCCAATTATACCTCGTACCATGTCTGGCATGTCGTTTGATTCTGCAGTTCAGCTGAACTATCGAAGAGAACTATCTAGAAGAGTAACACTGCACAGAAACATACACGGAATAATATTTATCAGTTTTGGCTTATCCGACGTGCTCCAAATCTGCAGCAGATGCTCGCAGTCGTGGATAGCGATGGCGATAGAGACCACATAAAAAACAACGTCGATCGAATTTATGGAAGTACGAAAACATCGAATCCACAGGTGCACACATCAGTAAATGATGAAATCGAAAACTTTAAAAAAAAGTGACTAGTGATTTTCGCCAAGAGCTGACGAAACTGACTCGGAATGACTGACTTCAAAGATGGTCACGAATACGTTTGAGTGACAGAAACCGATCACGCCGTCGGCAAGGTTTAGCTTCCACTATATGTTGTTATTACTAGAAATACGGTAGCACAGCTCCAAAATGTTGACCGCCATGCACATATAAAGCCAACACAATAGAGAAACGACATCGTCGATCGTAGAAGCCGACGCAGCTCCTCAAAACATTACCCTATTTTACATCTAGCACAGAACAACTGGTCCGTGATTCCTATAATGGACGTGAGCTGAAATATATGTCGTGCCACCCGTTAGTAACGAACGACAAAATATCAAAACGACACTTACTTTGAAAGCAGCAAACAAATTCGATATAAAAGCATTCGGCCAGCAAATCTTAATTTGGATTTCGGCCGAAACGTTTCGCTTCAATGAAAGTTTGTGGTAGCAAATGTTTCTGTACCTAGAATCATTATTGATTTCTTGAACTATTTTGAATTAGTAGTAGATTCAAGACAAAACAAGCTTTCGACGAAGTGGCTTTCATAGGTCTCAAGAGGAATAATCATCGAACACGTTTCGATGAATCGAGCATGCAGATGAATTTTCAGGAGTAGTGATTACCGCTCGCATCCAATCTTATGCTCCGCTATCTAACTTTTTGATGTACTACAACAAACCTTTTCAAAACTTCGAGTTCACGTTTTGATTTATAAACCGCCAGACGCTAATTATTACCGATTTTATGGACGACCTGATCACGAAACTTATTGACACGACCACAACTATTTTTTTTCGAAACTAATTAGTTCCATTTTTTGTTGGCTTCGACGAAACGACGATTTCGGAGAGTTGAAACCTAAATAGACGACGGATATTTGATATATTCTCATTAATCTTGAAATTTTCAGTTGACATACGTATAACATTTTGAATAAGATTTTGAAAGTTTCCAGTCTACAGAGCTCGGCCAATTGTTTGTTTTTTTCGTTATTTCATATATTTTATGTCACTCTCCAATAGGTACGTACGTGTTTGCCTACTTCACAATCAAAATACCAAGAGTCTCTCAAACATTACAAACAAAATAAAAAATTAATATTATTTCATTGTGAACACGATTATATAAGCTAACTAGCGTGAGATCACAAACAAGTAATGTGATGAGCGCTAATTAGCATTCAAAGCAGCCAATCATCGGCATATATATAATAAACATGATATATACACAATGAATATATTTTGAATTGTTTTCGAATGCTCATCAAAAGTAGATGCTGCCTGCCTCGGATAAAATTTCTAAAGACTGACAATTTGTATTTTAAAGTCTGATACAGGCATTGTCTTTAACCACGTGAAGTTTACATAATGAAATTAGAAGATACACGTATGCTGCCTCAAGTGATCAGAGATCAGCGAAGCCGATTTTACTCGAAAATGTTTGATCAAGCATAATTAGGATGAAATGAATTTGCTGGATTACTAAACTATAAGGAGCAATAGGAAAATTTCATGTTATACGTCTGTTCATACACAACATGTTTCACTTTTGAATAATAGAGATTATTAGGAAAAACAGTCATCAATGATGTTCAATTTGAATTATTGCATTAATTTTGACACGTAAATAAGTCACCACTTTTATTTTTGTTTTGAGAAATCTTTCTCTCTTATCAATAACTGGGATTATCCAAATTCCAATGAATTTATCGGTGGTAACGCACGGAGGAGAGAGAACATCACCAACAACATCATTCTGCAGTGATCATTGATGTTCGTTGTATACTTTGTAACACCATGTTATTATCTAGATTTACAATTATTGCATTATTTCCAAGTCACAAACTATATTTGACAAAAGCTTGTACATGTGAAACACACAGAATATTCAGAATAGGTACATGTTTAAGAGTAAGTTTTTTACTGTATCAGTTTTAGTCTCTTGGATCGTCACAATAATGTTTAGTAGACACACACGCCTTTCTAACAAAATGGAATGATATTGCACGTAATTTATAAACATCATGATAAGGAGTGTACAGTGACCAATAGTCAAACGTAATAAATAAATTGGTCACCAACAATGAATCTGAAGCATGCTCTTGTTAGAATCCTACAATAAAATGCTGGAGTTATATCTGTTGATGTAAGCATGGAATTCTCTTAGCATGACAAAAACTATCCACTAAATAGGTACAAAAATGTTGTACTCTACAAGCTAAGGAACTATTCTAATATATGCCAAAATAAAACCTACATCAAAACTTTAAAGTAAACGGTGAGAACATTACAATATTGACAATGTAAGAAATACTATCTGAAAAGTGTAGAAAAGAATGATGAAAAATCGATACTCAATATAATGAAGTAGTAAGGTCCTAGATAATAATCAGGTAACTATGCTGAAGATAAGAATCATAATTTAAAATGCACATAACATTGCTGTTTGAATTTCTGCGACTTGTGCCAAAAAATTGTTATCAGGCCAATTTTGTGAACAGTGGATACACTCACTCAATCACACATTCATTTGAAGGAATGTCATGATCTACAAAACTGTGTACACATAATGCTGTGTAGAAAGAAGTTGATAGACGAAAATTGTGAACTTTGGTTTACCTTGAGTTTGAACAATATCTAGTGCCTAATGCTTCTCGTCGTTGCACTGACTGTGAATGTGAGAATATTTCATATCTGGTCCGCAGCAACAATCCGCTCGCTCAACTTTCGTGTTTCCTCACCAACGACGATGATAATGTGGGTTGTGAAAATGCAGTAGTGAGAAACGATTCCTCCCGGAAACGTGCAATACCTCGTCCCAACTGAAAGATCGATTTATATTTTAACACTCACAAAACGTTTCTGATGAGTTCACAATTTTCCCAACCGATTTCGATGATGAATAATAACTAGTGTTCCCATGTGCATAGAAATAGTGTTGTGTTTTCATTTTGTCAGCTTGGTCGTGCTCCTCACACAGTCTTCTGCGATCGCACATGACATATTTTCAGTGAAAATATTATGATGAATAGGTTGCAATCGACACGTCAAACAATTTTGTGACCGTCAAAACTCACAGTCGCGTTGAATTAGACATTGAGCATGCGAAACAAGCATCACCCGCAAAAATCGCAGCCGCAAACATGGAATCTGAGATGAAGTAGCACATGTCTAATAGTGCGACATATGACGAAATCCATGTTGCACATTAGAAATTAAGTCCTACTGAGGCAATGGTCGTGTCTTTCTTTTTTTCAGTTTCAACAAACGAATGAGGTTGACGCAATATACAGTGTAAGGACAAGCAAATGTAATGTTGTTACTTTCAAACGTTTCAGGAGTGGTCTAAACTTAGCCGAACCTGCGTTGTGCACAGGTGCATGCCAGATATTCCAGTTCATTCGACAGAAATCGAGTCAACTGAGTACAGCAACGATGCGCAACTGTGCAAATAAAGTCAATTCTCTATGTGCGAAAAGACCTACACACAATGTAATATCTTGCAATCAGTGTGAGTGGACATATTGGTTCGATTGCGGGACCTAACATCAACTGACGAATATCCGTTGGTTCTCAGTTCTATTTATAATCCAGTCACCAACGTCAACATACTGACACTTCACAGAGCTATACTTTTCACTGCACATCACAGTGCTGTCGGTATTTCTGTGACTTGTGCCAAAAGTTGTTATCACGTCAATTCTGTGAACAGTGGATACACCCACGCAATCACACATTCATTTGATTTACAATACTGTATACACTGAGTGCTGTTGATAATGTGGTTGACAGAACAATAAATCGAGTACCGTTTATGACCTTGAGATGCAACAAATCGACAGATAATAAATTTTTCAGCATATTTCACTGATGCCATTCCGTCTGTTTATATGATCATGTGTCAAAATTTCTTCGTGGCAAGATTTGTTTTATAACACAGATGTGTTCCACTTCATATGAACGGCAATGATGATTTGAATTAACTAATCACATTTTTGCCAGGTAACCAATCAGAAGTACTCGTAGATTTTCACGGTGTAATTTTCAATCGATGTTGCATGAAAAAGCTATAAATATAGAACGCTGTATTTTCAAGTCTCAGCAAAACATGTGTCTTACCAACCTGTTTCATATAATATTCCTTCTGTCCGCTCTACATGTATCCATGCAAGATGGTATGTACTTATATATTATAAGTCTTTTTGAATTATTAGAATGTGTATTCAGTTTTTCCAAAGTTTAACTAGTTATTACGTTATATTACGTGTTTCTTTATTAGTGACAGCTTTGGAATCACAAACGAATCTGCAAATCCCTAATGCCTTTTAAATCTCCAGTCATCTTTTTCCTAATAGAAAGTAGTCGGTTTACGTTGTTAACAAATATCAATATTTTTGGATCAATAAATCACTTGTTTCCATTGTGCGCTGCCGGGTAAATGAGAAGATAAATAAGGTTTTGCTAGTTTGATTGAAAAAACAATTTTCCACATCTATTGACTGCCAAAATGCTGAAATTATATGCATTAAAACAAAAATCCCAATGAGCGAACGTTTATTAATCATGTATTTAGAAACCAGACACATATTTATTGTTACTATGAATGTCATTACAGTTAATTCGGGAAATTTCTCAGCGGAAGTGGATATTTTATCCTTATTATTCTTTCCTCACAGTTCATATTATATTTTGTGTCTAATAATATGTTTAATATGGCTATTTTTCAAGCCCTGGATCCCTTACCTGACATAAACCTGGATGAAATGAATTTGATTGAGAGTTACAGTCAAACCTTATGTGAGTAATGAGTAAAAAGTTTTATTTCGTTCATGGATTCACATGTTATAAGTTATACTATTTACAATCTTCAAACCAAAAAGAAGTATAGGAAAATAAAATTATAGTAAGATAATATTTTTTCAGAAAATAATCACACTGAACACTTCAGACACATTGACTGATTTAATATCAGTGATGCCTTTTTCTTCAATCATGTGCCCTCAAATGTTCGAAGTGTTCCAATAAAATATTGATATGTTTTTGTAATTTCAGATGCGTTTAAATTTAAATCAAGATATAGAACTAGCATTATTTCTGATTTAGAACGAGGTAACCGCTAATAAACATTGATAAATGGTTATGTTATACAAGTTATGAAGGTTTTATTGCGTAAAATATCTTACTGAACGCATTTAATGTTAGATGATGACAGTCTTTGAAGCTTGTGTTTTTAAAATTTATTATAATCTAACTGTTTTGTTGTGTACAAACTTATTAAACAATTTTAATAATATTCTTACTCAAACATTTCAACAAGTGATTAGATGATTTATAATATTCAAAATTATCTTGGTCGATTTCATGTCACATGACAGTGTTTATTTGTATTATTTACTGATTTGACAGACATGCAGTTTAATCCTCGAAGTGGTAATTTAAGCTTTTAATCAATGTCTATTCACTGCTTCAATTTCAATATATGTATAATCAGAGAAATAATATTTATAGTCTGACAGATTTTTACTAAATACTTTGCTTGCATAATGCTGCTTTTATATTTCAGAAGCTCATCTTCTGTATAAAAAGCTCGTTCTGGATCAATATATCAGTATAACCGATGGTATAGTGAATAATTCTACTATAGACATTTGATTTCTCTTTTATGAAAATTGTAAAGAAATGGTTTGAGTATCTTTGAACAAAATCAATAAATACATATGTTTATAGTTGTTCATTATCAGTTTACTGCCAATTAAACTTACCTGTTACTTTTACATATTGACTGTAGGTAACATAAATAGGACACTAAAAGAAGCAGAAATCAATCTTGAAAAGCTTTCAGAGTTTAATAGTAAATCATTTGTCATTATTCAATTATTGCAATGAAATGCGAAGTACAGAGCACAAAAATTGTTTAATATTAAGCAATAATAATGAAGAAGGCTGATAGATAAAATTGTTCACGATTTTGACTGTTAAACAAAATAAGTTATTTCCGTTTTTGCTTCATTTTTCAGAAAAACTTCGAAAACAACATCGAAATACAAATGACCCAATTGTCAAATGTATGTTTGAAAAATGCAGTAATTTCATAAATTGACTTCATGATTCTAGATATGGATTGTGAGATGGAACTACAGATGAATTTTCAAAAGAGTATACTTATGAAAGGTTTGTGCATTTCAAATATACTTTGTAATTTGTTGATAACTTCCGACAATAAAATTCAATACTAGTGTACCCTTGCAGATAACATTCCTTACGATGTTATTGGTAGTTCGAGAATATCAGTACGTGGCAGAACACGAATATCATTCTTTGACTCACCGATAAACAGCTTTGGTAAAACTGGGTAGAATAAATGAAAATAATATTTAGGCACTTTATCATTATTAGTTATCATGTATATGAATTGGTTGTTCACCACAGTCGGACACTTTGATATGCATAACTCCATGTGTTTAATGGCAAGAAGGTTTCACTTGTTTATTGACTCATAGATATAATCAGAACAACATCAATGGAAGAAGACGATTTCGGTGCGTAATACTGCTTTATGCAGCGAATTCATTTGAATTAAATTTTCATAGACGAATTTCTTCATTTCTCTTGTTTTTTCTTCATCAATATATGCAACGTTTTCAACACATCAAACACTTTGTAATCACAAGTTCAGTATCTTTTCTTAAGCTCAGTTCTTCGAATATCTAATGAATGTGTCATTTGATTTGAAAGATTTCTTACATGATCTGTCATTGAAATATAGAAACACTCTATTAAACCTTAAACAATCTATCCTCATGTGAACACCAATTTACTCTTTTCACATCAAATTGAAGGTGTCAAGCTTGAAAAGTCTTCCGAAAAACAAGTGTGCTTCAATCATAAGCAAAGAACCTTTGACAGTAAGTGTGACTACATATCATGTATCAAGGATATTATGTAATCAAGTGACTGCCAAATTATGTTGTTATAATCATTATTTTGCTTATTCATTTAACATAGCCATGTACTCATTCCTAATCTGAGTAACATAACTTTTAACCGGAAATGAAATACATTTTCAAATACAACTATTTTCGGTGATAAGCATGACCGAATATAAATAATTTGAAACATATGTTTGTACTTAACTTCGTTTAGAATCAATTGTACAACTTTCGTGTTCACTCAATAAAAAATTCAAACAAGAATAAAATATGTGCTATAGCCTAAATGATTGACTGAATTAGCATTGAAACGTAAACTTTATGAACTCAAATTATAAGATAAAATTCAACATTTCTCCTTGAGGTTCGTATAACCTTGTTTTTTCTTCATAAAATCAAACAGATACAGTTAAACAGAAAGCTGTGAAAACCTGTATTCCGGATACGATATTCGATGGAAACAGTAAAAGTTTTATAAATTGAAATATCAAACCATTTTTTTCCATGAAAATTTACTTTTTCTAAATGATTCAAGATTAGCAAAAGATTAGTAAAACGAAAACATTATTCCCGAATACATATATATATATATTTATATATATATTTACATATTGTTTTCTATGATATTTATATAACCATAAGATACTGAAGCCAAATTATTGTTTTTTCAAGAACACGGTTCCAAATAAAAAATATTTATCAACGGAAATCATTTCTAAGTGAATAATATTTTTCTGTTAAGTCGTATTTATTTGAATACTATCAATTGTGGAATGAAATCTAATTTATTTTCAGTAAAAAACCAAATTGATAGTCACATCAGAGCCTTCAGTATATCTATAAGATATTACAACTATGAATTATGTAAGTACACAGATTTTCATTCTTTGAAGTTTATATTAACCGCTATGTGATACAGATGCATCCCTCAAATTATCTTTTTAATAAACTGTTATTACATATCCACCATGACTCATTTATAGCGAATATTTGTCAATCAAAACACAAATGCGCACAAATTATGCTCGTTTATCCATATGAAAAAACTGTAATTCGTCTACTCATTATCGCGGCAAACGAACATTGATCTGGTTTATGGAAGCAGTGTTTACCTAGTCGTAACGAAACGAATTCATTCAGGAAAAATATCCTTCACTTGATAAGAAGACTTCAATGCAACGATCTTTCTATTTGATCATATAAGCGTGTTACGCAGCCTATTTCATTTATTCCTATGATTGCTTTCAAAATTATAGTTAACTTTCAACTGTTGTCGGACATCGTAAATAAACTTGATCAGAAATACATGGAACGTAAGTAAAATAAATTCGTGTGAGCTTTTCATATCGTTTGTATTACTCGTGTACCATGACACAACTTAGTGAACTGCCAACTAGGTTCTTTGAACAACTTAATTTCATTTAACTGATACTTTGTGAAAAACGTTTATTTCTAACGTAATATTTCTCTCCAATACACATTTAGTATTAAAGAAATGTTCTATCAACCAAGTTATTTTCGCCCGAATGTTATGTCATATTTCTTTCATAAAATTTTGAAAGACAAGTTTTTCTTGAGATTGACTGCAATATTGTGTTGTACGTTGGTTCAGAATTGGAAAAGAATGTAAAAATCGGCAATACTCCGGTTTCCACAAGTGTCAATGGATCACGTAAGTGCATCAGTTACCACTGGTCGAAAATGCAGCAGTATCCTTCAAACTGAATAACAAATTACTTTTAAAACATGCGCACAACAAAATTTTTAAAAGTAAATTTGAAATAAGTACTGAAATGACCATATCCAATGATAATGTCGATACTCATCACAACGTAATATCATTGCATATTTTTCGGTATTTGACTAAATGTACATCAGCCTTTTGATATCTCTGACAGATATGCAATCTGGGCCGCCTATAGAACGTAATTAGGGATACTGTACTTGTGAATATTTAGTGAAAAAGGTATCATCATTTATGCTAAATTGATAGTGCCTTCCGTTCATTCACTTTCATAAGAAATGAACGCAGATGTTAGTGGACAGAACGAAAGGCGATAAACGTCTCTCTAGACGATACATCTGAGATGCACATCATTTGCTTCACTCCAGAAATTTTGTGTCATTAAACTTCCGTGTTGACTGAGAAAAATTGTCAACCGACTTATTTGATTCATTCTTTCGTACTGAATGATGTGATTGCTTTTCAAATTTCAGTTAGCTTTGAACTATTGTCGGAAATCCATCATAAGGTCGAAAATATATACAAAGAAGGTGTGTGAATGATATTCATAAATATTTTCTTAATCAAGTGGATATTATGTGATACATTTACTCGATGCAGTACATGCCCAGGGTGCATGAAGAACATAGTTATTCAGTGTCAACTTAAGCTACAATGCGAGAATTCTGTGTGAAACTATCACGTTGATATTCACTAGACATAGTACGTACACCAGTGAAATAAGTGATTGCCTTAGTTGTGTTCAGCTTTCTTGCGATCGATTAGGCAATTCTCTATCATTTACGTTATCACGAACAGTGAACATGAAACTGATTTTATACAAAAGACGTTTCAATAAGGATCAGCTGGAGGAACAAACCAATAAGTTTGAGTATAAATGAACGAAAAACATTTAAAATAACAAATCATACACATGCTTTAGTTATTTCATTTTGCCTAACTCATATGTTTTGTACAGAATAATTATTTCAATGCATTTTTACACAGCACAATGAAAAGTCTTCATGATATTAATCGGGACTGCTAATCACAATGAACTGATTTTTTGAAAGCTACACAAGTTTTCCTCGTTTAATTTTGACAATTATTTTTATATCAATGTAAAACAAAATTGCTAGTTGATTACTGTAACAATTTTTAATTATTAACTATTGTCTTTGTTTCGTTTCCGTAATAAAATTTTTGAAGTCGTATTTTTGTGACTAATCTATTGCGAGCAGAACGAACTCTCTCGGAATAACTATTCGATTTAAGTGATTACTTCAAGACTATGTCACTCTAGTTTTGAAACAATGTTCATGTCACTTCGTATGAATTCATCATGTTCAGTGATTATTGACCATCGACTTCGTTGTTTCATTCATTTTTGGAATGTACAGCTTCAAAATAAATCGATTCACTACAGAGGTCAAAAGAAAACTATGGTAATAAGAGTGAAGTTTAGTTGCTAGTGATTCAGAGCAGGCTTCTTTATTGTGTTTACCGCACACAAAATGTTATGAAGTGTCTATTTAGTACGACTGACGGATTAACTACGTCACTTATTATGCGTAAGCTAGTGCGAATTAGCATTAGCCGTTAAACGAGAGCGAGGATTGATGATCTGGCAACATGAAAGGCTAGTCTATTCCGACGGTCTCAAAAATTTAAGATGACTTGTATGAAGGAGAACGTGTATCCCACAAGCATCCAAAAGGATCGAGGCCGACGTTCTGAAGAGGATTCTGATCATTGAGCAAAACACAGTGGTTGTTAAGAATTGTCAGTGCTTTGATTTGCTCTAGATGGTTTATATTTTAAATGCAAACAGTGCATAGAATCCACATCAAGCACTAGCTCGATTTTTTATTGAAACATAAACGTCGTCATGATTAGGATGACTGTTATAACTATGGAATAATTAGCAGATGAATTAGTAACACATCGGGAGGCTTAGCTCACTTGAATGCAGAATTCGATATTGTGCGTATAATATGTAGTTGCATGACCACGGTTAGGCGCGACTCATATGGATTACTGTCGAAAATTAAAATTTGTATCAATTAGCGACATGAATATCAATCACAGTCGAAAATAGTACATGTTACTGTGAACAGATTTTTCCTACAGCGATTATGTAACCAACTTTATCCACATAATATGCCTTCATATTGTGCTAACGAGGTTCCAATTATACCTCGTACCATGTCTGGCATGTTGTATGATTCTGCAGTTCAGCTGAACTATCGAAAATTACGCATTGTCAATAATCAGTTCACTTTCCTGATTAAAGATTGAAAATAATCATCTGACTCATACATTCACTGACTCATAATTGTTACTTTGTGTTCATATATCATTTTACGGAATATGTTTTCATGACTGACTCCTTATTACTGACTGCTGATTAAGCATATACATACTGCTACTTCATATTAGTCTTAAGTTTTGTGATTTTTTACGAGTTTTACCGATAGGCAGTTAAGAAACGGATCAGGATAGTGCGCTTCAAAAACGACTAAAACGCAGCTACATCTTTGCATTTATTTTTATGTGAATTTTTCAAAAACATTTCCGGGCGAACCGGGTACAAGAGTTTATGATTTGAGTAATCAAGCGACTTAGGCTTTTTATTTATAAAAGTCGTTGAATGAGCATGAGCTTTACTTCTTTTCTAAAACTTTTGTCCTTTTACTACCTATCATCTGATGAATCAATAACGTCACATGTTCGACGATACAAAAACTTTGGTTTGAGAAATTCGATATTTCAATTGGCAGGAGTATTAGATAAACATTGCAGAGGGTTGCTTATCAAGTTTTTTGAACGAAGAAACACAGAATTTGATTTATTCGGGGTAACTTCACTGCTTCAAAAATGTTTGCTACTACTTGAGCAGTAGCATTTGTAAAGAAGTAGTGAAGAGTGAGTTCTGATTTGAGACAGCTGAAAGTTGATAAGCTGATTCAGGCCTATTGATATCCGGTGTCTTCTTGATAGTGTTGCAAAAAATAACATTCCAATCTACACTACCACATGTTCAGGTAAATAATGAGCTTAAACAAACATCGGCAAAACAGGAATAAAGCTGCTGTCGCAGACAACAAATGACATTTACTCGAAAATCACAATCTCGTGCGAACGGATTGTTAAAAAACCCAAACAATTTCAGTGTCCATACTTTGGACCACTCAAAGCAGACACCACAAAGGAAGCAAGGAACCAATCCTATTTTTAAATGTACAGTAAGCTAGCTAAAAAGAGTGGAAAAAGACGTTCCGAGGCTCAGTTAACACAGTCCAACGTCCATACACATAATGAGAATGACTGTTTTAATTGCTTATTAGCAGTCAAAATCAGTGACTGTGCTTTTGAATGCATTTTTTGTATTACATGGGAACAATGTCACTCCGACACTACCATACCTAAAGAGTACTACGGATTCATTATGAGTCACCCCTGCCCATGGTTTTGGTATATTTTCCCTCGGTGCAGAGTATCTGGTCATTAGCAAAGCCTCAGTTCATATGATCAAACCGAAATCGACTGGCATTAAACAAGTAAAACAAGTGACCAAGGCTAAAACAACAATGCCTAAAAGAACGAAAAAACTGCTGTTGTTGTTAACCTCACATTATCTGTTAGCAATACAGAACAGTGGGTGTACGTGAAGAAGGAAAAAAAGCAACACACAAACTCATAAGTGGCTACCACACAAAGACAGGGACGACAAATTAAACTCATTTATTTTATTTATTGTCCCAGTAGCTGAAGAAAGCTTGCCGGAAGGTAGGGCTACCGCTGCAGAGTTGCACCAGGTGCTGAGACAAATCACTAAGAGCCTCTCAAGCAACGTAACAGGACTAAGTGGTAAGCTGTTAGTAATCAGTAATATGGGCTTTCAGATGGATCTGAAGACCGTATTACTAACTGAAACATTGCTATCCCCTGACATTGCAGACGAAGAAGTGGGCTTACCAGCCATAAGACTTCTCCGAAGTGATAGGGTACACCAGACTGGAGGCTGAGTGGCTGTAAATATACGGAGACACTCGAGAGCGGAGCGCCTATACAATGCACAAATAACTAAGGTGACAGAATCATGTTGGTGTTGTTTCCACATAAATGGAACGAAATACCTGATTAGAGGCATTAACCGACATCTTCTGGGTACTAAGGCCCAAGAAAGCAAACAGATTGATCTAATACTGCAACAGCCCCTCCTGGCGTTTGATCAGATACTCTTAGCTGAGGATTACAGTATTCTATCTCTAAATCTCAGCAATCAGAGTAAAACTCCCACTGGTTAGTTCCAAATCAAATTGCTACAGTCATTAAAAGCTCCAGGCTGACTGAGCACGTATGCAGTGCCACTAGATTGACTAAGGAGGGAAATTCCTCAAACCTTGATTATCTGGTTGTGGATGTTCACATGCATACACCGATAGGTAGTAGTGATACTGGCGCAGTATTGTTTAACATGGTCATAAATGAAACACTCACTATGGACGAAAACGAAGCGTATCTTTGCTACACTGTGGAAAACTATAGACGTATGACAGAGGTCCTCCAACATGCCTAATGGCTACGGGATTGTTGGAAAGATGACAGTAGATGATCACTGGCAAACGGTGAGAGATATCATCCATAACGCTGGAATGGTGGTATGGTTGGCGGATAAACGAAAATGTACAGTCGTATTGCTGAGCAACGAAGTGCTAATACAATCCGTTATATCTGACACAGATAAAGTTATCAATTCATTGTATTCCACATGCACTCAGGTTTACGAAGCTGATAAGAGCATAGATTCAGCTTATTGATAAATGATAGAAACTTTATTATGAGAGTCTTAGAAAGAACATATCAATAAAATACAGCAATCAATGAAGGTGAAGAATCTTCTTAACCAGCCAGCTGAGCAACTAATGCGCAAAAACAAAAAACGTATAAAATTAGAATCGTTTTTACGGGTTGAAGTCTCCTAACACCACTAAAGCTACGTTTTATTAGCGGGCGCTCCTCGATTCAAATTTTATCTTGAGTTATGTTGACCGCTGTTGACTATGATACTTTCCGATACAGCGATCAGATTTTGTCAGGCTTTTCCTCGTCATGTTCTGCATTTCGTTTGAAGGTTTCGATTGTTCAGGAGGATTCGCGCCTGCTAGCAGGAGCTATTTTAATATGCGGTATCGATGGCGAGACCATATGTACGCTCATGTCTCTAGCTCGTGAACAAGAGATTCAAGTCTTTTGACCAGTTGCTCTTCTTATCTTGGACCTTCCTTAGTTCTCCAGTCACAAGCAAACTCAGGATATTCCACTTCGCTCTACGATTGCTTTGCAGGATTTATTTTATTGGTATTGACGCATTTTTTGAAACCAAAATGTCGGAAAGGCTTTTCAGTATTCTTCTTTTTGCTTCGAGAATTTACCATGCAAATGATGCAAGTGTGTTGTTTTATTTACTACAGCGTTCACTGTTGTTCAGTCAACTAACCGCTGCTCTAATAAACGTATCAACAAACCGTTCCTATTGCTTATTCGACTGCGTGTGCCAAGATGACGACAGTCTGTGCATATCGGCTGGCTAATGACCTGTAGTTGGATCTAGTAGATAAAATTGCGACCATGCAAGATATAATCACATCTAGTAGGCCGTGTCGAAAACGTTCAGTGACAATCTGAGTTGTTATATCTGTCCAGTGCGTCAAAACATGGCTGATTTCAGTTCATTTCGCAGAGGCTTCAGCGTAAACTCAGTACTTAGTGCCAGTTATTGGGCCGGAGAGATCATCGTATATCCTGAATAAAAAAATCAAAAATAACGAACATTAGGCAAGATGTACCTGGAAACAATCGCTACAACTGCGGTCTAGTACCAATGTCGGTTTATGTTAATGTAGTAAGGCCCACGGATGAGAAATGTAAATTACAACACACAAAGATCATTGTTTATTGTTTAACTTTCATTAAACACTGATAAAGGTCGAATCTCGCAGGTTAAATTCACATTCAGATTGTCCTACAAAGCCATATTACACAGATTCCCGTCCAAAATCCAAAATTGGTTAACAATTGAGAAAGAATGCTTTAGTATAGGTCCCAAATTGCCCCTTTTCAATCCAGATGTACGTTTCACCCTCAAAGGTATCAGATTGAATATGGCTGTAGCCAAAATGACGAATCAACTTAAACAACA